TGTACCGGACTCATTTTTCAGTCTAGCACCAAATTTTTTGTAATCCATGATCGAATTTTTTGTAATCCATGATTGAATTTTTTGTAATCCATAATCGAATTTTTTGCAATCCATAATCCATGATCGAATTTTTTGTACTCCATGATCGAAATTTTTGTAATCCATGATGGAATTTTTTGTAATCCATGATGGAATTTTTTGTAATCCATGATCGAATTTTTTGTAATCCATAATCGAATTTTACGTTCCAATGGTTGCACACTACTAGGAGAAATCGACTCGCTTCTGAGAAGCTTCATAAACTTGACTACGTTCATTACAACTTAAACCTCCAAGAGCGACAAATAAGAAGGAAGCCTGAAGACTATGGGCTGATAGACTTAGACACAATATTTGTCACAGACACAGCAGAATAATGGGTAGTAGAAGAGGAGGAGCCAGTATTGCACAAGAGAGCGTTCTTTGAGGCTATCGGTGAGGAAGATCTTAAAGAAGGTGATGAGCAGTATAAAAGAGGAAGCAGTCAGCCAACGTATCCACAAATCGTAGGAGATGTCGGTGATATTGCACCTAATGATGGAGAGTAGGAAGGGGGTCTAAGGGAAAATGAGAGAGATGATGATTTCGAGGCCACCCTATCCCAGCCATATTATTCACATATCGAGTCCCAACAGCAACAGGGTACGGATGAGGAGGACAGTGTAGGCGAGCATAAAGGATGGACAAGCTTTGGGGATTTTAGATTGGGAACACAACAGAACACTAACACTCAGGGATTTGGATATAGTCAGATGCCTGCTAATATCGATGATTCATTTTTAGATCGAATCAATGAATTGTCAAACGAATTCAATCAATGGTACCAGCATGACCAAGAAGAAGAACATCGTCGTCTGTCATTTTATTTTTAGATCATATGTTACTAATTGTATGCTTTATTATCGTCTATGTATGTTGATATACTTATTCCATGATAATTCTATGTTTATCCTTTTGTGTGACGTAAATTAAAAGATAAATAGTAGTTCTTGCAGGGAAAGAACATATCAATATTCGCATATTCATGTAAATAAATGAAAATTCTTAATGGAGTACCCTCATTTTTTATTGAATTCCTAAAAAAAAATATTTATAATGAATTTTAATAATTTTTTCGGATTTGTTTGAAGCTTTATTCTGACCGATTCACCCGATTCCATAATCGGATCGTCGATTCGCCGATCTGGATCAATTTTTGAGCTGCCCGATCTGGGTCACCGATCCGCTTTTTTAACCATTGGTACTATGCATGGGTGATTATACAATGTTGAATTTATTTATGGGAAAGGTTTCTATATTTCTCATGCAGTATAGAAGATATATACTTCGCCTCAATCCAGCCGTCCAATTTAGATCAAGTGAGCCACTGACTATTTAATCTATAGATCCGAGGCCTCTGAGTATTTTATTTTTAGTTTTTCCTATAAATTCTATGAAAATTAAACTTGATACGTATCATATTCTCAATGGATTGCACATAAAAAAAAAAGATAAAAATAATTTTTCAATAAAATATAATGACCAAAATACCCTTTGAAAATTTTAGGGGTTGCTTATTTTATTTTATTGGAAATATTTTTTATATAATTTTTACAAATTCGAGTTTAAAAGAGGAGATGGTCAAAATAATTTATAAAAAAAAAATTAAAATAAAATAGTGTAAAGATGTGATATTGTGGGGGCATGATTTTATTGTAAAGATGTGATATTGTGGGGGCATGATTTTATTGTAAAGATGTGATATTGTGGGGGCATGATTTTATTGTAAAGATGTGATATTGTGGGGGCATGATTTTATTGTAAAGATGTGATATTGTGGGGGCATGATTTTATTGTAAAGATGTGATATTGTGGGGGCATGATTTTATTGTAAAGATGTGATATTGTGGGGGCATGGAAGCCGCTATAGGGGAAGCAAAATAAGGTTAAAATGTATTAGCATGGTATATAGTAAGAGAGTAGTACCCGTGGCCTAATGGATAAGGCGTCTGACTTCTAATCAGGCGATTGTGGGTTCGAGTCCCACCGGGTATGATTCTTTGATTTTTAGGTTTTCTAACGCTTTTTCTCAATAGTACTTTTTTTTATTGGTTTTGCACCTCTTTTTCTCAATAATACTTTTTATATTCGTTTTTCTCTATTCAGGCGATTGTGGGTTCGAATCCCGCCGGGTATGATTCTTTTTTGAGGTTTTTTAGGTTTTGTAACTCTTTTTCTCAATAATACTTTTTTTTTATTGGTTTTGCACCACTTTTTCTCAATAATATTTTTTCTATTCGTTTTGCACTTCTTTTTCTCAATAAATATTGTAATACTTTTTCTATACGTTTTGAACCTCTTTTTCTCAAGGGAGAGGTAAGTTTGCCTCCTTATACTAGAATCTCAATAATATTTTTTTTTATTGGTTTTGTACCTCTTTTTCTCAAGGGAGAGGTAATTCTCAATAAATATTGTAATACTTTTACTATACTTTTTGTACCTCTTTTTCTCAAGGGAGAGGTAAGTTTGCCTCCTTATACTAGAATCTAAATAATACTTTTTTTATTGGTTTTGTACCTCTTTTTCTCAAGGGAGAGGTAAGTTTGCCTCCTTATACTATAGAAATAAGGGCACCTATAAAATTTACTTAGCTATGTCATTTCCATGCCTCCAAAATCTTTTTTATCTTTCTTTTTCTCAATAATACTTTTTTTTTATTGGTTTTGCACCTCTTTTTCTCAATAATATTTTTTCTATTCGTTTTGCACTTCTTTTTCTCAATAAATATGGTTATACTTTTTCTATACGTTTTGAACCTCTTTTTCTCAAGGGAGAGGTAAGTTTGCCTCCTTGTAATATCAAATTTACTTAACTATGTCATTTCCATGTCTCCAAAATCTTTTTTATCTTCAATTATTAAATTTTAAATTTTTGAAATTGAAAAGATCGAGCAAATCAAGAGACACTTAAAAAATGTTGTTATACCTCTTTTTCTCGAGGGTGAGGTTTGTGTAAGTTTGCCACCTTAAACTGTAGAAATAAGGAGCGCTTATAAAGTTTACTTAGTGATGTCATTTCCATGTCGAAAACCTTATGATGGTTCGAAAATCTCTTTTCATCTTCAATTATAAAATTTAAATTAAAATTTTTTTTAGATCAAACAAATCAAGAAACACTTGAAAATGGACACTCCAGATAACTTGTTACAAGTTGCACTATTTTTTGAACTTGAAATTCCTGTTTTTTTCCTGTCCACTCATCTCGATATTGAGATGATCACTTGGAGGGTTCTCCAAAACTCTCCTTTGTAGGATTTTTAGGTACACCTTACTTTAGCAATACAAGGTTGCGACTTTATATAAACCTTTTCCTTTTTTCAATAATACTTTGTATTAATGTTGCACCTCTTTTCTTCAATAAATATTATAATAAAATAACTTTTTTATTCTTGCACCTTTTTGCTTTTCTTAATAAATATTGTAATAAAATAACTTGCCAAAATATATTCTATTCTAGTTGTAGTAGAATCTTTATTTACTCCCTTGTGTAAAACACGATTTAAAATTAATTTTAGGATCCCAAATTTTTGAGGATGAACCTGTTTAACCTTTAGATTAATTTAATTAATAAAAAATTCCTTATTGAAACCTTTATGCACCGGAAAAAAAAATTTGTTTGAAGACTGATCAAAGACCATCCAATTTTTTAGACAGTGAGATCTTAGTGTTAGAAAACTCAAATATAATATATTTTTTAGAATAATCATCTAACAATTCTTAAAGGGCGCGGTTTCTATAAGGTTGCAACCCTCAACAATCCAATTAAGTCGCACCTTAAAATTTTATCATAACATGTAATTTTGTTGTAAATTTTTTTTAGTATTATCTTAAAATCTATTTTCATACCCAAATAGAAAATTTTAAATTCCAAAAATGATTAAAATCAAGTAGATCTATAAATATATGAAAATCTTGAAAATAGATGGTCTAGATAATGTGTTGCAAGATGTAATTCAAATACTTTTTTTTTTTTTATCTCAATGTCGAGATGATTGATTAGAGGGCTTTTCCAATATTAAAATAACACTTCCGAGAGATTTTTGAGGTGCATCCGTGATTCTACATTTTTAGGTTGCAACCTTATATAAACTTTCCCATTCTTAAAGGTTCCTAATAAAATTGCACATTGAAAACATCCTCCCCAGTGGGTCTTCTAATTGAGGAAGTGGAAGTAAACTCCACTCCCAAAGCACCGTAGCACAGGTACTCACAAATAACTTTATAGAAGCTTTTTCTATTCATTTTGTGTTTTTATCTTAATAAATATTATAATAAAATAATTTTATGGGGGAAAATTATTGAAACACCCCATGACTCTACTTTCTAAACATCTTCCCCCTCCCTCCCCTCCCCAAAACAAACTTTTTAAAATACTAAAAAAACCTTAATACTATTTTTGTGACCAAAATAGCCCTCTCGGCTTTTTACCTATGTTTTTATAGTGCCGGTCAGGCACATATTTTGTGTCGGTTGCACATATTTTTTGTGTTGTACCGAACTCATTTTTTAGTCTGGCACCAAAAAAGAAAAAAATTGGGTGACATAAATATCGATTAATTGGGGTATTTTGATCCAAAAAAATACCTTTTTGACTTAAAGGTAGTAGCAAAAGAAAGCGGTATTGATTCATTGAGTGGTATCAAAAGTGTTGGGCGAAAGAATGCCTAAAAACTTGAAATTGAGGGGTTTTTAGTAATTTTTCCAAACTTCTTCTATTCGTTTTGTACCTTTTTTTTTCTTAATAAATATTGCAATAAAATACCTTTATAGATCCTTTTTTGATTAATGTTGTTCCTTTTTCTTCTTGATAATATTGTAATAAAATAACGTTATATAACCTTTTTTCTATTCGTTTTGTATAACCTTTTTTGGTACATCTTATTTATATAGTAATATGATAATACAGAAGAGTTATTTATCATTGGTGTCGTGGTGTAGTTGGTTATCACGTCAGTCTAACACACTGAAGGTCTCCGGTTCGAGTCCGGGCGATGCCATGTTCACTTCTCCTTTTTAAGTTTTTGTATTGATTTCTCATTTAAGTTTTTGAGTTTTTGTATTGATTTCTCATTTAAGTTTTTGAGTTTTTGTATTGATTTCTCATTTTAAGTTTGTGTTGTAAGTCTTTTAAGTTTTTAATTTTGAAATTTAGGCTTGTGTAAATTCGTATTGTAATGTTAAAAAAAAAAAAAAATGTATTGTAATTGTTTAAGAGTTTGTATTGATTTCTCATTTTAAGTTTTTGTGTTTGTATTGATTTCTCGTTTTAAGTTTTCGAGTTTCTATTGATTTCTCATTTTAAGTTTGCATTGTAAGTCTTTTGTAATTGTTTTATTTTTTAATTTAGCCTTTTTAAGTTGTATTGTAATGTTTTTAGCTTTTAATTTAGGGTGTGGTTTGCATACCGTTGCAACTTTAAACAATTCAATTCAGGCGCAACTCTAAATTTTATCATAAATATAATTTAAAATCAAATATTTTTAGGATAGCTTAGGAATCTAATTTCATCTCTAATTATAAAACTTCAAACTCTAAAAATGGTTCAAATCAAGTAGATCTATAAGCACAAGAAAATCTTGAACGGTCTAGATAATGTGTTGCAAGATACACTATTTCGCATACTCGAAATATTGTTTTTCTTTTCATATTTATATATCTCGATGTCGAGATGATCAATTAGAGGGTTTTTCAACATCTAAACAACCCTTCATGTAGGGGTGGCAATGGGTTAGGTATGCCTGTCAGGTCAAAAAGCTGGACCCATACCCGTACTCGTCGGGTTCCAGGTTGATTTCGTCAGGTCACAAGTTAGGTTAGGTCCATTGCCACCCTCACTATAAGCCTTTTTTCTTTTTTCTTTTTTTTTTACCATCATATACCCATATTATTGGTGACAAGTTCACAATCACCCACCATTAGATTTCAAGCTATCAGATTTGTCGTTTAATACCTAAAGATGACTACAAGTTCTTATTGTATATGATCCTTAATACACCCAAATGAATAGGGATTGAAGTATTTTTTCTCTAACAGTTTGCGAGTACGGGTTGGGTCAAACCAAAACTGGATCCGACCAGTCGGGTCCAAATGTTGGACCCATACTCAGATCCGTGTCGGGAATACCCAGCGGATCCTGGATCCCGGATCGGGTTCGGGCAATTGCCACCCTTACTTTTATAATAGATTTTTAGGTGTATAAGACTTTTAATTTAACCTTTTTGAGTTTGTACTGTAATTCTTTTAGTTTTAAATTTTGAAATTTAGTCGTCTCTGATCCCTTGGAGCGGAGACACCGATGTTATGGCTTGATTAGTTAGTTATATCAAGAATTATAATAGGGGTGGTCTACAAAGACCATTTATCTTTGGTTGCAGTTTGTATAGAGCCATGGCTCTAAGCAATCAAAGTAAAACACACTTTCAAATAGTGCCGAGAAATGTGGTTTCAATACTGAAAATCTTTGTGATAGCTATAAAATATATTTTCATCTATAATTATAAAATTTAAAGCTTAAAAACCAGTGTAGATCAAGCAGATCTATGAAAACTTGAAAATCTTTAAAATTGATAGCCTAAAAATGCATTACAAGATACACTATTTTTAAATGAGTGAGAATGATTATAATCTCCATGTATAAAAAATAACTAGTCTTTTTTTAGATGATCCCTTATAGGCAGTAATACCATCCGAATTAGGAGTGATACCACATTGGAACTAGTTTGGTCCCAACCAATTCTCATCCACCCTTCTAAAATCTATTTTAAAGATAGATCATGTACCCAAAAATCTATTGGTGTATTATTTGTCATTTCAATTCTTAACAGATCTTTAGAACTGCACTGCTTGTAAAGTTCCAAATTCCTTAAATGTGAAGTAAAAAGCCATATGCAGTGATTTAAGCCATGTTTTGGGTCCTAAAACTTGAAAATCAAGGTGGAAACATGAGTCAGCACACACTAGATTTGTAAAAAGTTTATCCTTTAAAATGTTTTCCCCTTTATCAATGATAACTTTCATGAGCTTTGTCAATAAGGATGTACACTTTCATGAGCTTTGTCTCTAGAACTTTGTTAGGTGTTTTATTGCGCTGTCTCTCTCAATAATAAAAAAAAGAGTCCACCTCCCTCCATTTGTGTTGAAATGCCCGGTGTTTCCCATTAACATAAACAAACAAATCAAGCTTTCTTTTGTGCACAAAGCCTTCCACCGAAAAAAAAACAAAAAGTAAATAAAAATAAGGGAAAAGTTTATAAAAAGCCAAGGCTCTAAACAATCAAATTTAAACCTACCTAAAAATTTTACTAAATGAAGTTGTTTTGATGCTCAAATATTATCAAATTGATCATCTCGACATCAAGATGCAAAGAAATGAAAAAAAAAATAGATTTTAAGTTTTAAAAATAGTATATTTTGTAATGCATTTTTGGACCGTCAAGTTTCAAAATTTTCAATTTTTCATAAATCTAACTATCCACACGATTTTTTGAGCTCTAAACTTTATAAATAAAGATGGAAAATATATTTTAAAGCTATCACAAAAATTTTCAGTATCGAAACCATATTTCTCGACACTATTTGAAGGATTTGATTGTTTACGGTCTAAGCTCTATACAAACCGCACCCATAAAACAATGATCTCATATTTTTGGGTCGTTTTCGCCATGAAAAAACTCTTGCCCATTTTTTAAGCTAAGGATTCAAGATCCCATTTCTTAATACAAAGAACACCCCATCCACTTCATCTAAAGATAGGAACATATGCAGAGAGAAGCTAGAGAAGGGGCATGAGAGATAGAGCTTGAAAGAGAGATGCGGGGCTTCCTGGGTGCTTTCAATTTGTTCAAGCGTGAACGTGCGGCAGCTGGCGAGCCGGTCGAGCTGGACATGGCTGGACATGGCTGGAGTTTGGCCCAAAGACTAATCTCGAGAGGAGAGAGAGAGAGGGAGAGGGAGAAAGTGAGGGGAATCCCATAACAAGTGAGAGAGAGAGAGAGAGAGAGAGAGAGAGAGAGAGAGAGATCTTACATGGAAACTGACCATAAATAGTCCCAAACATAAGTTCACTCAAAAATCAGAAAGGCAGTAGGAATTTAATGATCTAGCTTAACAAAAAAATGAAGAAACCAGAATGACCCAAGACCAGAAAAATGTCCAAAGAATGAAGAGTATCTCATTTCTACCTCACTATTTTAACAGGGAGTTCCTTTACCTGTAAATTTATGCTATATAAAAATGCAGAAATACAACGGTGGTAGCAAATGGGGAACCCAACCACAATCAAGTCCCAAATTCATCTGATAAACTTTTAAGGCACTGTATGCTATATAAAATACAATGAAAGGAATCGGTTCAATTTGAATAAAAGAACATGAATGAGCAAATGGTGGTTTATCATCTCTTTAGAAATATATAGACCTATAATACAAAAGCCAACTGGTTTCTCACACTGTACAGGAAATTAGAAAGAGAAAATCCATACTAGAAGAAAATCGGCCACAAATCCAAGAATTTATTTTCATTTCCGTGTTCGGTATAATGAACAGGAAAATCCAACAAATCCTTGTTCAGAGGAGAATTCCTTGATACCTTGAAACTTAATTTCCACAACTCCAACTCGATGTGGGAACACAGCTCAGGTAATGGCACCAATGGCAGTGTTTATTCCCATTCTCTCCCCGGAAGAGCATAACCAGGCTTACCGTGTAACTGCACAATCAAGAACATCACCATTATGAAAACCAGTTTCCTACACTTGTAATAGATGTTTTTTTTTGTTTGAGAACAGATATCAAATGATCTGCATTTCCTTTACGAGTGATAATGTCATGCGAGAAAGGGAGGAGAGAGAGTCTCGCTAGCGATTAAAAATAGGTTTGTGGCAAGGTGTGTGCTATTGACCCTGCGAGAAAGGGAGGAGAGAGAGTCTCGCTAGCGATTAAAAATAGGTTTGTGGCAAGGTGTGTGCTATTGACCCTGCTCAAAGTCTGAGAAAAATATCGGTCAGACTCTGTGAGAAGAAATGGCACACTTCCAGCCACCTGATTTAAAGCCTGCTGGCTAGTGGTGCTTGTGACAGTTGTAACTTGTAACTAAGGTAAACGATCTCCTAATGTACAAATCCATAAAATAAAGATCTAGTGCTTACCCAACAATTAATAAGACCAAGGCAATCACCCATAACACGTATTGGTACGGCAGATGCTTAGAATTGATCCGGCCAGCATATGATGATGGAAGATTGTTGCGATCAATCCAACCAAATTGAGGTCTAATCAACAAAATGAAGCCAAGGAGAAACCCCGATAAAAACCCTCCAATATGGGCAAAATTGTCTACATGGGGCAATATCCCAACAGCCAAGTTGATAGCAACTATCATTATAAGTGTCACTAGAGCTGCTAACTGTCAAAAACAAATACAGACAGGTGAAGTTCAATAAAATGGGCATTAATGGAGTTAAATAAAGTTGATAAAAAAGATCCAGTATAAATGAGAATACTATGAACACATACCTTGTTCGAGTAGATGGTCCAGTTTGTTAGGAGCTCTGAAAGCATTGCTCCCAAAAGTCCAAATAAAGCACCAGAGGCACCCACCGATATGTTGTTCTGAATGAAAAGAGAAGAGAGAATACTACCGCCAAATCCAGATAGAAGGTAGATGACACCAATGCGCACTGTAGTATTCAATTAGAGAAATTACAGTTAAATAATATTATATAATTAATCAAAGCATCAAAGTTTCTAAAGAAAGTGGAGCTTGGGTTGTGCCTGCTAATCTGTGTGTTTCCTTTTCCATTCTGATAACAAACCCACCCTCAGTGTTGCAACAGCTTAATATATAAAGAGTCTTTACGATCAATTAGACATACCTCTACGAAAACACTAGTTTTCCTTTACCTAAATGCATTCCTATTAAGTTTTTTTTTATTTTTTTTATTTGATAACAAAAATAATTGATTGCATGAAGTCACAAGTATAATCAGTATATCCATGTGCATGTATATAACTTTTCTTCACATAGCTAAAAAAATATCCTAATATATTAGGTTTTCCATCGAGTGTGATCTAACCCCTCTTTGGATATTTCACTAAGCGAGGTTTTAGAACTTCGATTTACTTTCATCAAGTTAGTTTGTTCTTTTCATGCAATTCCACATTCTTCACATATGTTTTACATAGGAATTTACTCAATGCATAGGTGTTAAGGGCCACGGGTTGATCAACCAAAAAAAAAACAAATTCGTTTTACATGAACTGATGATTTTAATTTTGTTTCAACATATTTACACATTGCTCATGCCATTAGCATGTTTGGAAGCTATAAAGTGTATCCCTATATGTCAAGAAAACTCTGCAAAGTGCAAAGCTATTAAGAGTTTTAAAATAAAAATCAACAATAGTGAAACTTACCAAACCCGAATTGCTGCTCAAGACGGATTCCTATGAAAACAAGGCTCAACATGTTCGCAAGCAGATGAATTACACCAGCATGTAACCAGATACAAGTGATTAACCTCCATCCCTGGTGTCGATGAACAACTTTGTCCCATTCAAGGGCTCCAAGTTTCGTCAAACTGCAACAGTAAGAAGCCAGCAAATCGTTTTAACGTACTAGACATTAAAGTTGCTTCAAGAAACAATTCTACAGTACTAATCATATCTAAAAGAATAACATGTGGCCGAAGAAGATATCATGGCCATCATGCATCCCCTTGGAAGCGCCATTAGCTAGATGACATCCGGAATGTACGGAACATTAGCTAACAATCAGATAACAATTCTAATTGCTTGAAAACAAAGATCCAGATCTCCGAAAATATGAATATGAACTCTAAGTTCCTACTCGTACAATGAAATCAAGCACAATGCAGACATCCATTAAAGTAAACAATGTGTGCTGGTGCTTGGTAAAAAGCAAATTAATTTTCCCGTAATCTGTAGAAAACCAATCGAGAAGAGCCACAAACAAACCTCCAATAAAAATCAGTTCAACCAGCTTTTTTTTTTTCTAATCCAATTTCAGTGAACTACACGATCCCACTCTACTCTTTCGCTAAATAAAACAGTTAAATAATACACAAAATCAAAATATTGGCTCATTGAATTCAACCCGAGTTTCAAAACTTCTACAAATTTCCCCTCAACTGGAAGAAATTAAAAAAGAAGAAGATGGAATTAGTGTATCTGATTTAAAGTTTTAAACTTGAATCAAATAAATTATGCCTCGAAAATTTCAGAATTTTCATTCAAATTAATCTGTTAACCATACTGATATTTCATCTCACTCTTAAGTTTTTTATAGGCCGGATGCCATTCAGTCCAAAATTACAGTTTTTTGATAAATAAATCGTTACAAACTCACCACCAAAAAAAAATGTAGAGAAATAGAACTCAGACTGGAATATGCCGATACTTGTACATTCATTTTTATTTTAATAAAATACAGTCCAATATCATATTCTAAAATTGAGAGGAATTCAAAAGTTAAAAGCCAAAAAAGACCCATTTCTTCATTTTGCATTGTATGCTTGAGTAGATAGACCCAAAGACTGGAAATTTCAAAAACACCAACTTTTCTGGACGGTATAAAAGAGGAAACTATTCCAAATTCAAAAGCCAAAAATTACTCATTTCTTCAGCTTTCATTTGATGCTGAAGTAGATGGACCCAACACTTGGGCATTTTAAAAAACGAAACAGTATATAAGGAAATTACAGGAAAAAGTCTTTTTTATCATTGAATTGCTGATAAATTACGAAAACAAGCCGCTTTCCATTGTTAAATTGCTGGTAAATTACAGAAACAAAGAAGCAATTGAATAAAAAACAAAGCAATTTCTCCGACAAATTCACTTACGTCGCAGAAGAAGGGCCTAGAAGGGGGTTTTCGTTGATAGGCTGAAAAGAAAATCTCCCGAGAAACCTCGCAACACACTGGCCTTTTTTAGGGCAATCGTTTATATACATCACCACCAAGAACACTGCAACATTGGCCACAACAAACATGGGAACCAGCCATGAAGTCCAATGCCTCTCAGTTGAGGTCTCATAGTACACACCAGTGGAGAAATTCCCTGTGTCTTTAGGGGAAGAAGGGTTCCTCCCTCGACTCTCTATATCACCATGAACCATATTCAGACAACCAAAGAAGGCCTAGTCCAATTGAGCCAGGAAATCCTAATTCAGGGCCTGATTCAGATATGAAATATAAGATTTCCAGGACGCAAGAAACCCAAGGAGAAGGAGCTTCTCTCTGAGAAAAAAAGGAACTCAGTACCCAAAAATTGAATTATCGATCCAGAGAGAGAAAACCCTAATTCATACGCAGAAGAAAACCCCGAAACCCAAAACCAGAGAGAGGAGAAACAAAAACCAATTAGGAAGAAGAAATCGATCCAAACCAGAAAAAAAAAAAAAAGCAGAAAAAGAGGTCAAAGAAGAAACTCCAATTCAGAGGAAGAAGAGAGAGAGGGGGAAGCAAGTTACGAGATAGAAAACAAAACCCTAAAAAATGAACGAGAGGGAAGCAATTTAGGAGATAGAAAATAAAACCCTAAAAAACGAACGACTCTGATGGAGTTATATATCCATTAATGAACAGCGGTGAAACCTTTGCTTGAAAGGGAAGTGGGATCATTGCTGGGTCCATAAGGCTCGTGCCTAGCTCGAACCAGGGCTCGGACGTGTGCGCGGTAGTGGGTGGGGCAGGTCGACTCCCTCCATTAACGCGTCATAGGAAACCACTGCGTAAGAGAGAGAGAGAGAGATTTTAGAGAGAGAAAGAGAGGAATTTTTAGAGAGAGAGGGGGATTGCGTGATCATTGACTGGGTGGCTTACAAGGCACTCTCTGCGCATGCCACGTGGCACACGGTTGTACACGGGCATGGCTTCTGATTTTTCTCTCATCCAAGACTCGTGTCGCTCTTTCTCTCTCTTGCCCGAAAGCGCAGGTTCATATTCTCTCACCTCTCTCTCTTACCTCTCTATCTTTCTCTCTCTTACCTCATACTTCTTTCTTTCTCTCTCTTATCCAAAACTCGGACGCGGTCCTAATTTTCTCGCTTGTCCAGAAAAGTTTCTCTCTTCGACCCACAACTTTGCATATTTCTCTCTCCCACTTATACGAGTCAGGAATCGCACTGTACCCGGATCAAACCCGAGTCTTAAAGGGCAGACCACTGGACTTTATTTGCGTTGGGCATATGTCTAAATCTTGAATCTTAACACTACTTGGGTCTAGTTTTGGGTCCGGTGAGGTAAAAATCCATATTTAAATTTGGGTAATTTTTTTTAGGTCTTATTATATAAAATATATTTAAAAATGTTTAAATTTTTAGATCAGGTTCGGATCCAATGAATTCAGATACAAATCTAAATTTGGTCCGAATCGCATACTTTTTGGGTCCGAATGGACTCAGACCAGACCCGACGCACCTAAAATCAACGACGTGGGTTTACCGAACTTAGAGCAACGTCTTGTCTCTCTCTTACGAGACACTTAGTTCTCTTTCTCTGTCTTGGTCAAGACTGAGGGACGGGTCAGTTTTCTCTCTCTTACCCGGAAGTCGACTATCTCTTTCTCTTTCCTGCCCGAAATGAAGGGAAGTGGGTCAGTTTCTGTTGCCTTCCAACGCGTTGGTAGCGTCAGTTTCGCCAGAGAGGGAAAGCGTCCGATCCGAAATTTAGGTGTACCTTAATTTTACTTTTTTTTTTTTTTTTTTGTATTTTGAGGTTGCAACCTTACGTAACCTGTTTTTCATTCCATTCATAAGAGGCTTTTGCATTTTTAAACCGCTTATATTTTCCTTTTTTAAAAGTGGTGGACTTGGAATTCTTATAGTATTTTGGGAAAATTATAAAATGGATACGGTTTCTACTTGGCATGCTTGCATATAGTAGAAATGGCAGGCTTGGCAATAAATATATATTTTAAATATAATTTAATCTTATATTTTAGATATTATAGGATATTTAATATAAAAATCATGAATATAGAAAAATAAAAAAAATTATAAATTATAATTATATTAAAAAACATTTTAACTATTAATTGCAATTATTTTTAGATGCATCATCTCTAAGATTGATGCTTTATACCTTTGGACCGTAGTTGGTTGAAATGTGCTCCGGCCCGCACACGAAACAATTTTCCTTAAACAATCTCTCCAATTTGTACTTTTTAGGCATCATTTCACCTTACACTTTTGAAACCATACTATTAAACTCAACATTATATTTTTTTTGAAAAAATTTATGTAGACCCTAGGCTCTAAACAATCAAATTCAAGCCAACCTCAAAACTTTCACTATAAGAGGTTGTTTTGATGTCCAAATATCATCAAATTGATCATCTCGACATCAAAATGCATGGACATGAGAAAAAAATGGATTTCAAGCTTTGAAAGTTGTGCATCTCGTAACGCATTTTTTGACGGTCAATTTTGAAGATTTTCAAGTTTTCATAGATCAGCTCGATCTACACTATTTTATAAGCTTTAAATTTTAAAACTAAAGATGAAATATATTTAAGGCTATTAGAAAACATTTCAGTATCAAAACTATATTTCTCGACACTATTTAAAGATGGGCAACCTTGGCTTTATATAAACCGTACCTTTTTTTTTTCAACCACATCACAAGTAAATTAAATAATTTTTTTTACCAAAATACCTCACTATTTTAACTCATGATTTCAAAAGGTGACGTCTGATATATGTCAGCACAAAATATGTGTGCCAGTCTGACATAAAATGTGTTGCCCTGGCAGCCCGACACAACTTGAATACAAAGCCGGTTTGACACGATAAATGTGCCAGATCAGATCTATATCACGTTGTGTTGGATTGGCTTAAAGAGAGAAAGTGGAAAACGTGACCTAAATAAATGCATTTTGGTATTAAAAAAGTATATTTTTTTACTTTGGAGGGTGGTTGTAAATATAAAACATTAAGATTAGGAGTGTGATTTTCGAAAGGAAAATGGTTTGATAGGGCTGGAAAATGGTTTGATAGGGCTGCAGCCCTATCAAAATAAGCAAACCCTCACCTCATAACTCATCAAGTGTTGAAAGACTTTTAAATAGATCATCTCAGCTTGAACATTATGGTTGTGCAAAAACATTACGATTTCAAATTCTAAAAATAGTGTATATCGTAACAAATCATCTAGACTATCCATTTCGTCCTAAAAATAAGTATTCACAAATCCGCAAGATCTGTACTATTTTTTAAGTTTCAAAATTTATTGCCGGTGTTGGAAATTAATTTTAGAGCCACCATAAAAATTTTCGATTTCGAAAGTACTGGAAGAGGATTTGAAGTGAGACTTTTTTTTTTTTTTTCATAAACCCGTAGGCCCTATAGAAACTTTACCTTTTTACAAAATATTAGGAATGGCATGCCCTAAAGTAGGATTAAGAGTTGTATCTATAATTCTCCTAATATGTTCACACTTGCTGCTCAAAATAAACGTATCCAAAAAGGTCAAAATCATCCTAGCCAATGGATTTGAAATGAGGTGGATGGACACCAAAATGTGGAATTTGGCTCATTTTACATCACCTCATATACCCTAAGCCATTACTAGGAATCAAAAGCTTGTTATTGGGCCTAAAACAAAGGGCATTGCCGCTGGTTTTTTATTCACCATTTTCTCATCAATTCGATGGTCTCAAACAAAATTTGTAATCCATAAGAGGTCATTTGATTTGTGGCAAATATCTTTTAGAGAGAGAAAGTTCCAAGGTGGACTACCACTTTCCATGTTTGGTCCATGGGAAAGCCGGTGGTCAGCACACGTGAATGCACATCCCCGTATTTGCACTCTTTCAGTGCTATTTTTGTGGGAAAGAACATACACATGCATCCACTTTCCCATCGGCAGATCGTTCAATGTGTGAAAGCTCTCTGCATGAGAGAACTTCCACTCGAACCAAATGACCCAAGAATTGAGCATCCTTATATTAATAAATGAATTATCGTAAACTGGTTTGAGATTCGCGCTGAAATAGTTGTGAAATTTTGAGCAATTTGCTTATCCTCATCTGAGGGAAGATAAGTAATTTTTTTGCCAAAAGTATCTAAAATCTATTCCTTTTTTTGCTTATAATACATTAAATTCCAAAGAATTTCCCCATAATCTCATTTTATTATGTTGATCCAACTTGCAATGGAGCAGGAGAAGAATCAATGCAGCCTAAATTTTTTGTGAAAAGGAGAGACATAGAACAACTCCACATTTAAGGATGAGGTTTATTGAAGGTGCCTTCCTTATACTATAGAAGGAAGGAACACCTTTTTATTTTGTCTGGAGATGTAGTTCTAGTGTCGAACACCATATCAGGACTTGAACATCTATTTTAATCCCTAGTTATGATATTTAAAATTCAATGATATAGATCAAATTGATCTATAAACATTTGAAAATCTTGAAAATAGATAGTCTAGATAGCTTTTCACGAGATGCGTTACGTTTAGGACTTGAAAGTCTTTTTTTTTTCATATGCATACATCTCAAGGATGAGATGATCAATTAAATAGTCTTTCAACATCATAACACTCTCTTTTATAGGATATTTTTGGATGTTCAACAGTATGAGGTTCACACCTTATATAAACTTTTTATTTTAGAGAGAGAAAAGGAGAGAGAGGATCAATTAAAAATGGTTTAATCAATTAAAAATGGTTTAAATTAAGATTTTATAAAGAAATGTATACAATAAGATAACTTAGTTTTAGTATAAGCAGGCGACAATCATTATTGACCATAATATATGACATTGTGTGGTTGGGGATGTAGCACTGATTGGGCATAAAATCCAAAATAAATGTTTTCTTAATTGTGACATATAATAACTTTTTATATTTCACATCTAATGACTAAGAGTGATTGTGATCTTCTTGAACAAAAAACAAAATCTTATAATATACAATCCCATTTTATAAAAGGGTGAGGTTTGTGTAAGGTTGCCACCTTAAACAATCAAAATAAGGCACACATCCAAACTTTGTCATAAGATGCAATTTTAGTGCCAAATTTTTTTAAGATGCTAGAAAATCTATTTTCATCTGTAATTATAAAATTTAAATATCATAGATTGTTCAAATCAAGTAAATATATAAACGCATGAAAATCTTGAAAATATATGGTTCACATAATTTGCTGTAAAATGTATTATTTTTCAAACTTTGATTTTATTTTATTACATATCCTTACATTTTGATGTTTAAATGATTAATTAGATGGTTTTCTAATGTCAAAGTAGCTTTCGCCTTTGGAGTTTTAAGGTGCAACTTAATTCTACAATTTAAAGTGTCAACCTCATGTAAACTTTTTATCTTTATAAAATATATTTTAGAATTTCATCATTTTTCGAAATATTAATTCCCCAAAATATATAAAGGAAATTTACATGGGACCCAACCCGTACTATTTTACTACTAATTGAAAAAGCCACCGGGACTCCTAACCTTTCAGCCAAATAACCCATTGGGTGTGGTGTTTATATGTGACCCCAACAACATGTAAGTTATATGTGAGCTCATTTTTTAGCCATTCGATCTAAATTGAACAACTACGATTACTTATACCACAATGTCATGCTAAACACTAATTTATTTTTAATTTTTTTCTACAAATTAGTTTTGGATAAAAATTTGGGCATTCTATCATAAAATTAGGGGTGAACCTAGGAAAAATAAAAAAATATATTTTATATAAAAATAAATGACCAAAATGCCTCTAAAATTTTTCAGGAGTATTATGATAAATTTTCATCACTAGAAATATTTTTTAATTATTTTTTATCATGTGTGCCACTCTCAAGTCTATGCATTTCCCAAATTTTACTTCAAAATTATTTGTAGGATGCAAATAGAAAATAAAAAACTATGAGCCGTTTGATAAAGATCTGATGGTTAAGAGCTAAGATGTGACGATGTGACTCAAGCCATCCCAGCCATTTACTCATATATGACGGTTGAGTCAAGAGCTTATACCATATAGGTGGGTGGGTCACTTTCTTTTATAAAAGCACCTACTAAAATGCCCTTCAATTAAAAAAAGGATGCGATTTGTATAGAACTTAGGCTCTAAACAATCATATTAGAGCCTACCTTCAAATAGTGTTGAGAAATGTGGTTTCAATACTAAAAATCTTTGTGATAAACTTAAATATATTTTCATATTTATTTATAAAGTTTAAAGTTTAAAAAATAGTGCAGATCGACAAATCTATGAAAACTTGAAAATCTTAAAAATTGACGGTAAAAAAATGCTTTACAAAATACACTATTTCCAAAACTTGAAATCCATTTTTTTCTCATGTCCATGCATCTTGATGTCCAGATGATCAATTTGAAAATATTTAAGCATCAAAACAACCTCTTCTAGTGAAAGTTTTGAGGTATGCTCAAATTTGATCGTTTAAAACTTCGGCTCTATATAAATTTTTCCCTTAAAAAAATATTTAATTAAAACTTATCTGTCTCCTCTGCTATGAAAAACTCCCAAAACTTGTATCTTCATTCTCTCTCCAACCTCTATTTTTATCCTCTCCATGGGATTTCATCTCTCTCATTCCAAGTGGATTTATGTATAGAAATAAGGCGATTATTGAAATGTGAGAAAGCTCTTGACCTCATATTTAATTTAAAATCTAAATTGGTTTAATTTGGATAAAATTTAATGGATCTATAGGAATAGGGCTTTTGGGTGTCAGTTATAAGTCTAAGCATGCGGATTAGTGTCTTATATTTATTAGGCTCAGGACAATCTAGAATGACTATTTGGGATATTAAGTAAGCTATAATGAGTATTTAGGATATTAAGTAAGCTTAAGGTTTGGGTTTTTAATCTAAAGGGGTGACTTGGATTTACTAGGCTGTTGTGCTCCCTAGGGTTTACTAACCCGTTTTGATTCCTGAGTTCACGATGCCGTTTTGAACCCTAGGGTTCAAGAGCTTGAGAATGGTTACTAAATTTAAAATTGAGCGTCTACAAGAACCCGTCTCTTCGGAGCAGCCAGCCGCTCTCCTGCGCTCGCCTGCAACAGCCAGCCATAAGCTCACCTGCAACTTTTTGATGGTGGAAGGTTTGCTCGTACATTGACGAGCTTTGATTTCATGTGAGATTACATTTCATATGTAGAGAGAGAGAGAGAGAGTGATCACATCGTACATTGAAACTTGGAGCTTTCTATTCCATATTTTGGGCGAAATCAACCGAAAGCTTCAAGCTTTAGAGGTAGCGATTCACAGGTACTTGCTTTATCTGACTTATCTGTAGCCCTATTTTAGATGCATCATTTTATGGCATTCTTCTTTTAATTGAATTGTTTCCTTCATTAAACAACTAACCTCTGTTTTTTACTTGTTTCGTTTTGTCTACTCGGGCGAATATTTTTCACTGAGAAATTTCTCAGCTGTTATTGCGCATGACTTGTTAGATTTTTGCCCTTTTTCCTTGCTGAGAACTTCTGCGCTTCGACAAACCCTAGTTTAACAATTGATGGTGTTGATTCAATGTAGTGGGAGTTGATAGCGTATAGTAGTATAGATAGGAAATTTTAGGTAATAAAATCGAATTTTTATGGTTTATGGACATTGTTCGAGCTACTGCTACTTCTATGAAAAATAAAGAACTTGAAGCTTGGTCCTCACCGTGAAGGGGAATTGTGACTGTTGGCTGTTTATGGATTCATCATTGATTATGTATTTACTGCAAAAGATGATTTATTAATTGATTTTGATATCTATATTAGCATTATTTTACGCAAATTGGAAGCGGAGAAATTTTTTACTTATATGAATTGGGGCAAATTATTTGGTTATAATTTAGGGCCATAATAATGAGAATAAGGGGTTTTAATTTTTTTTAGCAGCAATTTGGCAAGGTTATCCATCATTATAATTCTTATTTTGAGTGAGAATTGACAAAAAAATGTTGTATTTTTGCATTCATTAACTAAATCTGCCATACGCTTTCAAGGGGCTTTCTTTCATACTTGACGGCCTATGTGTGCTAGTCATTAAAGTTGACCATTTGAATGTATAAGATGAGATTTCTACATTGATGCATTTTCATCAGTTTCTTCATTTTTATTTGTTTTATTGTAATCCTGTCCATTGGATTCTTAACTGTATATTGGGAATATTGGATATGTCTTTTGAGTCTTTAGATTTTATATTTGATCATGGATGCTGACTTGCCAGCTAGCTGATATCTTATAAGTTTTGATCCACAACACTGTTGGGACTTGATCCCCTTGTCTCAGTCCGTAGCAGAAAATATTTAGTTTGTGTCAGTTATGATCAATTTTAAGTTTTACATAAGAAAATTACCAAAGTTGAGAGCACCATCTATTTATATGAATTTAGTTTTTGTCTGTTATGAGCACCATCTATTTATATCAATTTAGTTTTTGTCTGTTATGAGCACCATCTATTTATATCAACTTAACATTCCTGGAGGTTATCAAACACAGAAACCCAAAACTTTAACATTCCAGCAAATTATCAAACACAGAAACCTAGAACTTCTTACAGTAACTTATTTCTTCCTAGCAAAGAGGAACTTCCAATTTACAGTTCATGATTTAACTACCGGTTATCAAACAGGCCCATAGTCTTAGGAATTAGGTATCTGATAAAGCATTACAAGGAAACTGATTTACGTGAAATCCATCATTTTAGTTGCTTGGGTACGCAACAACATAAGTGTGAAATGGAAATATATTACGTATAGGGGCCAAAATCGTGAAATGGATTTACCAAAAAAAGAAAAAGAAAAAGAAAAAGCTGAGAAATAGATTGAGGATGATGAGGAACCTATTTCCCGTCGGACCCGATAGAATAAACAACTGTGCTGTATTCAAAACGAGCTTCAGTTTCCTGGCCCCAACAAATGCCCAAGTTCTAGGTACTCTCTCTACTATCGGTCCTCTCTCTCTCTACCTCGTTGGATTTCTCTATATTATAGGGTTAGTGTTCTCTCTTTCTACCGTTGGGCCTCTCTTTCTCTCTGCTTTGAAGGTTGTGACAGATGGGTGGAGGGGTTGTAAAGAAGCTAATGTGGTTATATCTGAGGGTTTTAGGGTTTAATCCATCTTAAAGATAGGGGTACTTTGTTTGTTACTCTGATGCAATTATTTATGTCAAGTAACCATTACTCTCTTCTTTTGTTGAATTATTTGTTAATGATTTTTATTATAGCAATTTCACCCTCATTGATGTTTCTTGTGGTTTCTTTTTCTTAAATATTTTTTGGGGTCAATGGCATGCCTCTGCTTCTTTGAATCGATTCATTCATGAATTTTGTGATCATGTTCTTTTGGAATTTGAAGCTATACTTGTTTATGTATTTAGTTGTGTATCTTATTTTTAATTTTTTTTAGCATTTGAATTTTTTTTTGAAAAATAAGTAACACAACTAAATGCATAAACGAGTATGCATATGTGAGAGATATGTATGATGGAGCGGTTACTAGTGTATGAATAACTAGTGGAGAGACAAGTGAGTTTTCAGTGACAATAGGTCTACATCAAGGGTCAGCATTGAGCTCGTACCTCATTGTTTTAGTTATGGACGACTTAATTAGGCACCTACAGGATGAGGTACCGTGGTGCATGTTGTTCGCAGATGACATAATTTTGATTGATGAGACCCGAAACGACGTCAACACAAAGTTAGAACTTTGGAGGGATGCTCTAGAATCCAAAGGTTTTAAAATTAGTCGGATTAAAACAAAGTATATGGAGTGCAAATTTAGTAATAATAGGAGTAGAGACGAGGGGATAGTTAAGATTGACGGCCAGGAAGTACAAAAAAGATTGTATTTTCGATATCTTGGGTCGATAATCCAGGAAAATGGAGAGATCGAGGAAGATATTGCACAGAGAATTAGAGCTGGGTGGGTGAAGTGGAGATGTGCAACTAGAATTTGATGTGATTGCCGCATACAGAAAGTTCTATGGGACAATGGTGAGACCAGCTTTGCTCTATGGGGTAGAATGCTAGGTAGACAAAAAAAATATACCCATAGAATGAGTCTAGTGGAGATGAGGATGTTGAGATGGATGAGTGGCTAGACAAGAAGGGATAGAATTCGCAATGAATCTATTCGAGAGAATTTAGGTGTAGCACTAATAGACGATAAAATGAGACAGAGTAGACTTAGGTGGGTTGGCCATGTGTGGTGCCTACCAAGTACAACACCTGTTAGGAGGTGCGAATTAGTTCAAGTGGAAGGATTGAAAAGGGTAAGGGGTAGGCCTAAAAGGACGTGGTTGGAAGTAGTCCGAAAAGATATGGGGACTTTTGGCCTCGTTGAGGATATGACCTTTAATAGAGTAGAATGGAGAACCATGATTCATATAGCCGACCCCAATTAATTGGGAAAAGGCTAAAATGATGATGATGATTTGAGCTGTGCATATGGTAGTATCTGATAATTGAATTATATTTCTTGTTGTTGAAGATGCATGGGCTATTATGCTATTTTCTGTTGATCTTATGCATATTCAAGACCATAATTATATTGCCCTAAATATGATGTCTTTAAGTTCTTTTCTAGTGAGAGCCATATCATGTATGGATTGTGTGTGTTATTGCAAAACCTTGTTATTTACTATGCAGGTCAATGTCAAATGCATTGACCATGGCCTCACATTATTATATGTGATGCCATTTATGTTCACATATCAGCAAATAAGTAGTTTTAATTGATATTTTATCCTAAAAAAGAAAAAAAAAACTTTTTTAAAAAAAATGCATTACTATCGATGAAGGTAATGCAGTATTTCCTAGCCAAAATATCGGCAATGTGTTTCCCAGATTTCTTCTAGACATAGCCAAATAGTAGCAATGTATTTCCTAGATTGCATCCAAGTGCTACCCAAATAACAACAATCCTTTTTAGGGGAGGCAATGGACTTAGATCCGAGGGATAGACCCGATCTTGGTTCAGGTATGGGTCAAAAAATTGGACCTGGCAGGTCAGGTCCGCGTCCAAATTTTGGACTTGAATAATATTTGGGTCTAGTTCTGGGTCTGGGTTTGGGTCTGGGTCTGGATCAAGGTTTGGATCCGGTAATATTTTTCGGGCCGTAATATATGAAAAATATTAAATGTTGTTAAATTCATAGATATTTTATTTTCTGGTCAGACCCGGACTCGACCTGACCTGTTGCCACCTTAATAGTATACAATCTTGTACATAATTTGATGCTGGGCCAAAAAATACCAATGCTTATTGGGCCTCACCAGCCTGTGGGTCTCCATCCCGGCCCGTCCCCTTGCATAGCGATCCCCAAAGCGAAGGTTATTTCTTCTTTGCCGCCAAGTCATGATGCAAAAAAACCCCCCATACCCCTCCTATTTCTCTGGCCAAAACACACACACATACACTCTCTCTCTCTTTCTCTCTCTCTCAATGTGGTGGAGGGCCTTCATCCCTATCTCTGGCCAAGAGCCTCACTGTCTCTCTCATGTTTTCTGGCCAAAAAGATTCTCAAGTAGGTTTGAAACTTTGATCTGTTTCATTTTAGTGTAAAATTTTCAGTTTCCGCACTTTCCCCCTTGTGTGTGCGTGTGTGTGTGTGTGTGTTTTAATGTAATTTCCTTCAACAATAATGGATTCTCATAATTCCATGATCTTCCGCTTTAGGAACTTCATGGGATTCTCTTTCTTACCATAAATCTCTCTCTCTCTCTCTCTCTGGTCTTTTTTGCAGTTAGATAAGCATGGCTAATCAAGGTGGAAGCATAAAGGTCTCATCAATCAATGGGGTGAAAACGTATTCAGTATCAGGCCAGCGCTCACTAGCCACGTGGCTTCCCCCCAAGAAATTGAAGGCCCTTCGAAAAGATAAAGGTAACCACATGATTATTTGGAGAAATTATAGTGTTTCTCTGTTTGAATTTCAGTTTATTAGTTAGAATAAAGGTATCCATATGGTTATTTAGAGAAATTATATTTTAATTTTGTTTGAATTCCATATTATTAGTTAGAAGAAAGGTACCCACATGGTTATTTGGACAAATTATAGTTTTTTGTTTTTTGGATTTCATATATTAGTTATAAAATTTGGTGTCTGTGAAGTAATATTTATTGGGTAATTGATATGTTATTTAGGAGACATGTGATTTATTTTTTAACATTTGAACTTGGTTTTATGGTCAAATTTTACTTTGTGTCTTTTGGGTTTAATAAGTAGGAAGATTTTACATTGATATAATGGATAATCTTTTGAAAGACGAAATGGTGTGTCAATTTTGGTTAACAGGGATTTGCACATGAATAACCGAATAATTTGTTGAAAAGATGAAGTGAGTATCTCAGTTTTGGACCTTTGGTTCATATCGATTAAAAAAAATTAACAATTGGCTATTCCTTATGCAAAACTAACTTAGAAGCACAGATAAGGTGCACACCACGGTGATTAAATAATATGACGGGGCTCCTTTTGCCTGAAATTGCAGTTAAGAAATGAAATTTGGCTGAATTGACTGGTAATTTCATTGGCCTTTTCAGTGGACTTGCTAATATTGATCATTCGTCGAAGTTCACATGAATTGAGGTCCTTCTTATGAAATCTTGATTATAACTTTGGGGGTTGTTCTTGTGGATTTCAGGGCTTAGGATGCTATTCTAGACTATCGATAAATAGTATCGATAATTTTCATACTATTTTATAGGAAATGCTGTTCCGGTTACACCACATTTCATACTAAACCTAGCTTCCTCTATTACAAACTTACTCAAGGCTCTTGTTGGATTTTCATTTTTAGTTTTCTACCTGGTAGGTAATGTATGGTTTTCTATAGGATCTGTTGGATCATTTGAGTTAGTATTTGTTAAATTCAACAGCTCATTGGTTTAATTTCACACGCCTAACAATTGAATTGTTTTCCTAACTGAAGCGAAAACCAATTGAGACATATGACTCCACAGATTAAATTGTTTATGTTAGGGTGGCGTTGGTATATCTATTATGTTTCTTTTTTATGAGTATAATGCCCACTTTTTATGTTGTGACATGGAATGCCTTTTATGTTTGGGAGTCCTGTAATCTTTGATGCATTAGGCTTGGTGATTTTTTTCTTGCGAATGTTTTGATACCTTTCTTTCTTGAACTATGCTTATGTCATGTAGTCTTCAGTGGCTAATTGGAAGTTTAGTTTTTGTCATCATCAGAATAGCAGAAGCTGAGAGTTTTCACATTATTTTATCTTGCTGGGGACTATAAATTGTTATTATTTTCATTATTAGAATACATGCGGAGGGTGGATCTGATCCAGGATTTGAGGTTTGAAACTGCAACATCTAAAATCAAGGCAACTCCTGATGGGGAATACCTAATAGCATCAGGTATGGAATTACCTTTTTCCTCTTGTTTATGTTTTGGGGGTGTGCACACTTTTTTTTTGGTTACCTTGTTAAATTGGCCGAAAGAGGCATGTTCATGTTCACAATTCCCATAAAAAGGTAATGGTTATTGTTGGGGATGACCAAAGATCTAAATGACATCATACAAATATGACATGCCTTTCATAGCAGTGTTTTAAAATGCGGCCGCATCAGGCGCTATGCGCTGGGCAGGGCATTGAAAATCCCTGCATATGCGGTTTGCAGAGATGCACCCGCATATGCGCCACATCTCTCCGCATCAAAGCCGAATCCCACATCTCACTGCATCAGGCCGCATAATCTTCCGTCATTTTTTTCTAAACTGCACCCCTCAGGCAGGGGCAATAAGGTCATTTCGACCTTCGAAAATGCAGGAAAAGGGTTTGGGAGGGTATTAAACCCCACAAACAACATTTTTCAGCCACATCCGTAGCTTTTATTGGATCAATTGGATCAAAAAAAAAATTGGGCGGAAATTTTATTTATTGAAGTTCTTCAATTTGTGCATTTGTTTATGCTTGGTTGTTGATTTGTATCTTTTGGGTGTTGATTTGAGGAAGTTTAGGTGAACTTGTGACAACAAATTGAGGGTTTCAAGGATGATGATTGTATTGACTCTTCTTGAGCTTGACTTTAAAACTCTTTAATCTTCATGGACGTTTAGTTTGTAGCATTTTGTAACTTTAAAGTTTGTGGTTGCAGATTTGTGCTTATGGTTGTTGATTGTTGAATGCTAGTTTCAAGTTTCTATTTTCTATCGAGGGATAGTGGATACAAAATCTCCAACAGCTACTACTGTTGGAGTTAATGAATAAACTAAATACATCACATATATCACGTCCATATTTTTTTTCTATGCATTAACTTATTTTTTTAGATTTTTTAGAATTTTTTATGTTTGTTGACTGCATTACCGCGATGCGCCCGCATCCGGACCGCATAGAGCCATATTGCCGCATCGGCCCCCCACTGTTTTCAGCCGCATCTGCATTTTAAAACACTGTTTCATAGGCCATTTTACTTGCGCCCCCTCCTCTCTCTTCTTGCGGGGATGGTAATGTCTATAGATCAGATATAAAATGATGATAATTACCACATAGCAAAATGTTGAATTGGGGACTAAACCAAACAAGAGGCCCCTAACTGAGTCTGATGCATGCCTCTTCAGGAAGTCCTCCCTTTGTAGTTTAGCTGTCTATGTTTGTCTCATCCAATCCAGGTTTTCCTACCTTACAAGGCTGTTAGCTTCCTTTTCTTAGTCTCATCTAATGTTGTGCATGCTTTCGTCGAGCGATTTTTCATTTAACTTTTAGATTTGTTGTTTCTGTCTATCAGGAAATCAATATATTACTCATCTTGTAAAACACTGGAATGTGATGAGTCATCTTGCCATATTCTTGGTGATATTGTCAGTGATATGTTGTTCCCTTTTTATTTTTATGGGCTACATGTTACCACATTTTGTGCTTCATATTATTATGTCAGTGTACAATGTGATGTTTTATTGTATCCTCAAAATCTTATGAATTATGGCTACATATATCCTAGCACATGTAGTGGAATTGAGATAACATACCGTGTGAACTATTTTGGTTTTATTACGTGCCTCAATCTGATGAATGTGCTTATAGAAGTAGCGCAATGTTGAAATTTTAGGTACTTACCCTCCACAAATTAAAGTGTATGAATTGAGAGAACTGTCTTTGAAGTTTGAAAGACATTTGGTGTCAGAGGTCATCGATTTTCAGGTAATGATTTATCTATTGGCTGGCCTTTTTTGCTACCCTACTCTTTTATTTTAGTGCTTGCATATGGTAATGCTGATATTTTGAACTATTTCTTAGGCCCAAAGAGGAGAATGTGGTTTATAAGGCCACTATTTATGTTTTTGCAATAGTTAGGTGTTAGATATTAAGTCTTCTCATAGAAGTAAGTCTGGACCATCTATTTTTAGTCATCCATGAGTCAACCATCTTATATCACATTGGTGATGATTGGAACCATATAACAATATAATACCCATGGAAGGTAAACTTTTAACTTGATAATATGAAGCGATATACCTGACACCATAAACTTTAATGTTGTCCAAAAGCCTGTAACCTTCTACAACTTCAACCCCAACCTGGGTTACTGAAACCTGGATGACTTGGGAAAACTATATAAATAATACTATATTCACTTGGGTGGATAATTAAATTCATATAACACCAATATTCGTCGAGTTCTTGCATGGACATGGATACATACTGGTTTCAGACATGGTACAAGTTTTCATATTCCTCGTGCCATTGAAAAGAGGTGTGGTTGACATGGCTATCATGAAGTAACTACCTAATCCAACAATATTTTACTGATACCATTTCATGGTGAGTAGTAAGAGAAAATCAATTATATATTAGTTGGCTGAACCCACATATATTTTCAAACTTTCATATGTAGTTTCTAAGTTCACATGTCTACTGAACAGAAGGGAAGATCATGACGCTGAAATAATGTAACCAGTGGTTAGTAAAGAAGGAGAAGAATCCAGAAGAATCTGTTTTATATTTGTGTTGATACTTGTCTAACACCATTACAAGACCCCAAACAAAAGAATCCATGTAATTAGATAAGATGAAAGGATAAAGCTACCACGATAAACTACGGTGCTGTCCAAAAACTGTATACTTGTACAACTTCATTCAACCTGGATCATTGAGACGTGAAGACTTGGAAAAATTATATAAACCTCATTATCTTCAATCTGTTGATAGTTGAAGCGATGTTTTACAACTTGGCTCAGCCACAAACTCGGCTCTTGGCTAGACTCAGCCTGAGTCTGGGCTGAGTTTGAAAAGAGCCGTAAAAGAAGTTAAGAAATTGGGGAAAATCCAAAAAAAAAAGAAAAAATTGAGGAAAATAATGAACAACAAAAATTATACAAAAGATGAAAAATGTTTCTAGCTTGACGATACGTTCAATCTAAAAATAATAACACAATTTTGTGATAAATTGCAACAAAAGATCCAACAACTGAAATTTTGCTAGATCAAGTGATATTATTTAAATATAAAGCGATATTATTAATTCGAAGTGTTAAAAAGCAACAAACACAAATTCAAGCAAAACTCGAGTTCTGAGATCTTCGTGCTCGATGCAAATTGATGCCTCCAATTATTGGCAAACCTTCCTCAAATAATCTGGAATTGAAACCGCCAAACCAGTTTGGTTTTTGAGCTTGAATCTTGGATATTCAAGCTCGAATTTTTTTTTGCGTGAATAGAGAATCCGAAAATTAGAATCTCAAAAGTCCAAAGTTTTTTTTTGGCGGAGAAATAGAGCCTATGATTAGATGAAAAACCCAAAAATAAAATTGGGAATAAAATTTCATTGAAGTTCGACCACCCATTGCAAAGAAATTGCAGGTTTTTGAAATTGGGCAAAACCTAGGTCTGAATCTTTGATCTCTTAAATCTGTCAAATTTAATTTTTTTGTCTTCTCAAATATACTATATCTAGTGGAAAGATCAAGCAAAAACCAGTAAATGGGTGAAACTTGAGCTCATATCGAGCCCTTTGAAGGCCATAGGGTACAAAATGGTGAAAAAAAGGAGGGCAGATTCCCCTCCCCCTCCTGGCCCCCCTTTTTTTAAACCGTAGTTTTACAGTACTCAGGCCAGTATTAACCAACCCCAGGTGCTAGTACTGTTCATTTTGACATATACAACCCCCAGATGCCAGTGCCTGTTCATTTTTACATATATCACCCTGGGTGCCTGTATATGTAGTTCTTTGCAATTGAACATGTTTCTGTGATTCTACTTCTCTTTTTTTACAGCCGCTTTATTGCAAATGGATAGCCATGATACTTGTTTGTTGCTGTAGGTGCTGGGTGATGATTATTCTAAACTGGCTTTTCTATGTGGCGATCGTTCTGTTTGTCTCCATGCAAAATATGGAAGTCATTACAGTTTACGGATTCCGAGGTCTGACAATTCTTTCTTCTTCTGAAGTATAATATTATGTGATAGGATCATAAGAGGATTGCTAGTTGCTGTTCTTAGGCTATCTATTTCTACTTAGTCTAGAGTTGCTGTTAAAAAAACTTGCATATGCTGATGGGATTTAGCTTGCAAATAGCTTGAGTTACTTAGGAATGATGTCTAATTCGCTTGGAACATTAAGGGAAAATTAGATACACCACCGTCCCTTGAATTTTAGTCACACCATAAACTCTAGTACTATTTCCTTTTGTATTGACCCCCTTGGGTGAAATTTTTGGGTCATTTTGGATGAAATACCCCTCTTAGTCAAACTTAAAAAGTTTTAAGCTTAAGGCTGGTTCGACTGTTGGGAAAGTTCTTGGAGCCAATGTCGGTTTGGCCCTCCATTGGTTGGACTGGCCTTAAGCTTAACCTTTTTTGTATTTTGACCAAGAGGGGTGTTTTTGTCCAAAATGAAACACATTTCACCCCCCGGGAGGGGGATGTGATCTATGTGTAGGAAGTTCGGTGAAAGGTGGTTCACATAATTTTCCCTAAAGTAAAAGAAGGAAAAATATCAGGATAATACCTGGAAAACATGCATGATCCATACATGTATTCCAGAAACATGAAATACCAAGGCAGAACCTGGAGCTCTCAGTTAAATGATAAATTTACCCCTGGAGTTTAGCTTTTCACCCTCACTTACGTGGTATTGTAGACACTGATTGGGGTTAAAATTGTCATATTGAAAGGCTTTGACATTTCCAGATACTGTCTCAATATTCCAACTTTCTGGACCATTGACGTGATTTATGCAAACTTTCGAAAGGAAAAAAGTATAGGAGTTCAAGAGCTCCCTGATGTTTCCCCTGAATAATTTTGAATAGGACATCGTATTAGACAAATAGCTCCACACAAGCATAAATTGAATAATGGTTATTGAAAATTAGTAATGCGTTTGTGACAGGTGAGAACATTTGGCTATAATTTTAAATTATTATTGGTAAGATTCACTCCTAATGAGCTACTTGATGCCTGCTATATTTACGCTATGCTTTTATTTTCCATGGGAAGATTTCTGCATTGATGGTGCTGTTTGAACTGAATATAGTCCATAAGAAAAAGAGTAATTTAAATGTGCCTCTTGGAAGCAGTACTTCACTTTGAACCAGTAGGTTCACTTAAATAGTGAAACTCAGTAATGCAGGGTAAAGTCCGCATTCCCTCTAAAGCCCTTGCTTCTATCCAAATCAAGCCCCTTAATCCCATCAAACAAACCTAACAAACGTAAAGCTTCAAAAACCTCCTATGGTTGTTTCCAAAGGTGCCAAGAAGGCTCAGTGAGCTTGAGTTCGTTTCCAATGGAACTGCTGCCAAAGTTGAGCTTCAAGTTTCTCTCCAGGGTTTTGCCTGCTGAGGTTGGGCCTCGATATTAGAGATTTGCTAATGCTGCCTTCCTCATATTATTGGAGCTGTGCTCCTTCTCCTTATGAGAAGACCAATCTTTCCAAAGAAACTATGAGTAACATAATCCATTTCATATGACAGGTTCACAGTCCTCCCCCACTGCTCTCGAAAAGCATAATGGAGCAAAAGATGAGCCTTTTCAGAGTACAAACCTTCATAAAATCTTATGCATGGACTTTGGATTGAAACCCTTTGTGCTGCAACATGCAACCGATCAGTGGTTACCATTTTGTCTTTGATTCTGAGAAAATACAATGTGGCTAATCTTGGAGCTTCTCTTCTTTAGGTTCCTCCCATGGGAAGAAATCATCCCCTCACATTTATGTTGTTCATGGATTTAATTGGAAAATTCTTTGAAGATTACGTACCCCAAAGCATATTCCCAACTCTATCTAGTGCTGGGATTGAGAGCAAATCATGTTTACATGTAGACTTCAATAAAAAGCATTACGCGGTTTTGTCATGTGGCCCAAGACACTTTTGTGTGGGTTTGTTTGTGTGTGCCTGAGCTTGTTTTACAATCATATTACAGTTAAAATCTTTGAATATGACAATCTACTTGTATTTTAGCTATGGAATTCTCTCCTATGTGAACTAGCATTTTTTATTAAGAAAACTGACAAAATGTCAGACATTTTTAATCAATCAATAATCCTGCTGTTGCTGCTGATATATAATTATGGCTTCTGTCTTCTGAATAACTATGATAACAGGATGGGAAGGAGTATGGCCTATGATCGTTGGTCTTGCGATTTGCTTTGTGCTGCCTCTTCTCCAGATTTATATAGAATTAACTTGGAACAGGTTGGCTGTATTCCTAGGTTTATATTGCGATTTCAATTTCTTTACCAGAGTTGATTAGATATTGCCTTGTTTTCCTTGTGTATGGGTCTTATACCGTTCTTGTGGCTTTGGATGAGGAAATGCATGCCTTGTATATTTCATTGCTCCAGTTTTTACATACTTGCGTGAGCCTGCCAAGCCCCTAACCACCCCAATTAATATCAAAAGTATTTTTTGTTAGATACAGTACTCAGGTGGGTTACTGTGGCAACTTGACTGAGTACTGTAAAACTAAGGTGATCTTTGGTGGACTGGGGGAGTCTATTAAAACTGGAAATATAAATGGGCACGGAAATCTCACCCCCTCTTTCTTCATTTCTCTGAGCATCAATTTGATCCTGAATTTGGGCCCTACACTTGTTTTTCCAAGATCTATCAGTTAGATAGATTGGATGTGAGCACAAACTTTCAGATTTTATGGATTGAAAAGATCAAAGATTTCAAGCTAGGTTTTGCCCGACTTTATTTATTTATTTCTCCTTTTCCTGAATTTTCTTATTTTTCCCGAACTTTCAGATTTTTTCAGACTTCTTGCCAACTCGGGGGAAGCTCAGGTGACTCAACTGGGACTCAGCCAAGTCGCTTGGACCAGCCAGGGGCTGAGTTCTGGCCCCGAGCGAATTTTTGAGCACTTATTCTCTTTTATTTATTAAATCTTAAAGACAAGATCTATAATGCCAATTTTTCTGCACAACACCGAAGTCTTTTCAAATAATACCTTTTTATGAGTATATATGTTGCATTTTTTGCATTGTCAGCACCATTTTTTATTCAACTATGCCCATCTGAAGATGCGGACAAGCTAGCTAGTCAAAACGTGGGGTATTTATATATGTGAATGTAACACAAAAGCCAACACAAATAAACTAATCAATGTTTGAACCTTTTGCTCATTTTGATGATGCTTGTCGCAACCTTGAGGGTCTATGCTTGCACTTGACTCACCTGTCTAAACAACAGCAGCAGCAATAACAACAACAGCAACAACAATAATGATGATGATGATGATGATGATGATGATATCAATAATAACAATTGACTTATCAACTTAATAAAAATATGTTCGTCATGTAGAACTATATGAAATCGTGAAAGATGGGGTCAAGGTAGAGAAATGTATGGCTCAAATGGTGTTTAAACTTTAAAGCGTTCAGATATGCGAACAAGTTGCAGAGATATTGGCTTCCAATCCTTCTATTGGCTTCCCTTTATTGGCTGAAGCAAATACCTTCGAACTTGTCATTTGAAGCAAAACATGAATTGCTCAAAATAATCATAGAGAAAAGCACTTAGAAATTATGTACAGAAAAAGCGATGAATGTTATAAGTAGTCTACGTCTGCATCAAAGAAAATTGTGGGTATCTAGCTTGTCAATCAACATGGAAAGGTTTCATAACCGAGTCCCTTGGGTCATCACTGTCCGTTGAAATGATGAAAGTGATGTAATGACTTGATCCACTAGAGAGGCAAAAAAAAGAAAAAAAAGTGTGGCAATAATAACTTGACATGACCCTTATGGTGGGTTGCTCTTCCTTTCCAATATTTTCATAATGATGACACAATGGGCTATGTTTTTCCATATTCTATAGTACTATGGTGTACTTAAAATTTTCAGTGTATGCTTATTTTGTTCCCTCTGATTGTAGGGATGCTTTCTCGCCCCTCTTAGTACACGCTCCTCAGCAATAAATGTTGTTACCCGAAGGTAAAGTCGCAAAACTGGAGTCAAGAGTCAACACATTTGATATCTATATCCTTAGAGGTAGGCGCCTGTTCTCGGCCACAAGTTGATACAATTTTTTTTTATCTATTCAGTAATGTACATGGGTTGGTTGCTTGTGGCTGTGAAGATGGGGCTCTAGAATGCTTGGATTTGAGGGCTAAATCTTCTATTGGAAGGATTAATGCTGTTGCACCATCTGGTGATACTAATGAGGTAAAATATGCTTGGGAAGCAAACAATAATCCAATGGCCTCTAGATATGGAGCAGATCCTGCCACTCATATTTTTAGTTATCCACCCACTTTTTATTCTGTCACCCAAAACTTATGTGGCAATATAAAGTTCCCAATGATTTTAGCCATGAGTAGTGTTGGGTGGATTATTGAAAAAGCAAATGGCTGAATCTGCTCCATATGGAAACCATGGTCTGACAATTGTGACCCACCAGAGCAGGACATGCTCAATGTGGATTGCACTCTCCATCCCATCTGTCATTTCGTTAAACAGTAAGATCCTTGTTGACTTTGGTTTTCTGTTCACACTGGATTGTAGTATGCTAATCCTGTATATTCTATACTTGTTTCATGCTTAGTTCGAACTCTAAATTACCGGTTTAGCAATTTTTTAAATTTACTTGTTAAAGTAATTTTTCATGTGTTAACTATTTTTTTTCAGGAGATTACTGCTTTACAATTTGATGATACTGGAGGATTCCACATAGCAGTTGGAAGCAGTAGTGGAAAGGCAAGCTTAGACAACACTGTGACTTATATTTTCTCTTTTATACCCTGCAATTCTTTGAAACTAATTTTTCTTTTTTTTTTCTGACTTCAACCATCGACTTCTTTGGAATTTGTTGGAATTATATTTATGACAAGTTTGGCCCGCATTGAAAATCAAATGCTCTTTCCCACATTCTAGTCATCCTTCCATCTCAACTTCGTGGTCAAGTTCTTAGTGGTAGTGCACCATTTATATCAGGATCCATAGTTTTGGATCTGGATCCAATTTAATAAGAACCCAAATCTTTATAATAATGCTTTCTATGGTTTTATAGGAGCTTAGTTCAGGTATAGGAATCAGTCATGCCTGCTTAACCATTAGGCCCAGTCACAGTTGTTAGTTTAAGTACCAAGTGCACATGAAACAAAACATTCAGTACCGATTTAGTGGGGGACCATGGTTGAGGAGCACCTTACTAAGAAGGGTTTTATGTGGAGAGAAGATCAATAAAGATTACCTTTCAATTAGTCCAATATGAAGGACCCTTGGATGAAGGACCCTTGGATGAAGTTTTAAGTAGATATCTATTTAGTAATTTTAGGTAATTTAGCTCAAGGTAGAACACTATAATCCAATGGGCTAAGCAAAGCCATAGTCCACTGGAGTTATTTCTATCCATTGAAATGATGGACTGCAAAGGAGAGAGCTGGACCTACAATTCTGGTTGCTTCCTGGTCTGTGCGTTCCACATTCTGGCACCTTCCATCATTCATTGGATGATGATGACCTGTTGGACTATGGTTTTCCTAAGCCTATTGTACTTCAATATATTTATTTGTAGTAGAATTATTAAAGCTTGTCTATTGAATATTTTGTTGAGTTTATTTCTCTAGTGATTGCTTTTTTATCTTGGTCTTTCGTATTATTTTGTCACTAGCATACCTGTCTTTTTATTAATGCCTGTCTGCCAAGTACCCCCCCCAACCCCCCCAAAAAAAAAAAGAAGAAAACTCTCAATTGATTGGTCAAGGCTGTCTATGCTTGAACATGTCTGTGAATTTAATTCATGCAGGTGCTTATCTATGATTTACGCTCTTCACATCCTCTCCGAGTGAAGGACCACATGTGAGTTTCTATTCTCCTTAAACCTTACTTTTTGAGTTTCTCTTTCCTGAGGTTTAAGCTGCTCTGGTCATCTTCTTATGATTTATTTTTGGAGCCCCTTAGGCTGTACTTCTTATGGGAAAATGTAAAAAGGTGGCAAGGATTCTAATCATGTCGCTGGCATTTGTGCAGGTATGGTAGCCCAATAGTGGACATTAAGTGGCATCAAACCCTTAATTCCATGCAACCAAAAATGATTACTGCTGATAAGCATGTTGTGAGAGTTTGGGACCCTGAGTCGGTAAGGAGCAATTCATTATAGTTGCCAACTTACCATCAAATCCAAAGTGTAGTTATTCATATGTTGCTTACTAAGTTCATTTTACATATCTTCACTGCTCATATTTTTCTTGGTTACTAGGGGGATGGTTTGACCAGCATTGAACCAACGGGTGGAACTATCAATAATGTGTGTGTTTTTCATGGAAGTGGGTTGATGTTGATGGCACTAGATTGCAACCAGATACCTGCATACTTTATACCTTCTTTGGGCCCTGCTCCTAAGTGGTGTTCTTATTTGGAGAATTTAACAGTATGACACTTTGCAATTATTTGAACATGTCAACATGGTCTTCAGAATAATTTAACTTTGATAAATGAAGGCATATAATGTTGATGAAGGTTTAGAGCAATGTGTTTTTTACTCTTTTTCTTTTCTGGTCATTTGTTGGACTTTGCAGGAGGAGCTTGAGGAGGGTGCACAAACAACCATTTACGATGATTTTAAGTTTTTGACAAAGGAGGATTTAGAACGACTAAATCTTACCCATCTGATCGGCACCAACCTCTTGAGAGCCTATATGCATGGTTTCTTCATTGATTATCGACTTTATAAAAAGGTAATAATTTCTTGAAGTTTTCCCTTGTTTGGTTAAAATTGAAATCTTTCTACCTTGTGCAATCAAACCATCTAAAGTACCTAAAATTTATCCTGCTCTGTTTGGTCTTTATCATAGTAATAACTTCTATTACAAACAATGTAAGGCCTTGGATTTGATCAATTTCTCGGATATTAGTTATTTTTTAACATTCATTGATTTTTAATGATGCAATATCATTACTTCACTTTATTACGTGTAGGCACAAGCTTGCACAGATCCTTTTGCTTATGATGCATACAGACAACAACGAATACAAGAGAAGATGGAGGCAGAACGTGCTGCTCGCGTCACGGTAACTTCGTGATTCCTTGGCAGTATATAGCAATTACAATATTATCTAGATGTAAAAAAGTTTAAATGCAAAGATAAATACATAGCTACCGGGATTGCCTATTTTAGTAGGCGATTGATTCTGGGATCTCAATTTTGTCGCTCCTTGAACGAATCTCTTAGGGATCTCGATTTTTAAATTTTGGGATCTTGATCCTTTTTGTTGGGTATGCCAATTCCTGATCCCTAACATATACATTGTATGGATGGTGCTTCCACCCATAGAGCTCTTCTAGCATTTCATGATCTCCTGCTTCCGATCTGAATCTCGGTAATTCCTGCTCCTGATCCCAACAACTATGTATGAATAAATAATACTTCGTCAAACAATTTGTTTTTCTTTAGAGAAAAAAAGATAAATATATCATAAAATGTCTTTGCATGTCAAAACAGCACAAACAACAAAATGGAAATCACAGATAAAAAATACTAAGGAAAGAAAAGAAGTTCCAGGACTGAAATATTCATCAATTGTTAGAGGAGACTGAGAGGCCAAGTTTCATGCTTGTGATTATGTGAATATAGATAATTGCTCTTGTTTCTAGTCAAATTTTGGAAAATGTTATGCAGTAGGATGTCTTCCCCGTTAAAAGAATAGAAGGAAAATTACATGAGCCCCCCTACCTTGAATGTTGTACAAATAGACCCCTGCTGCTACTTTTTTATCACACATTAAACCTTGTTATTATTTTCTCCACATTGACCCCCAGGTGAAGTTTTTAGGTCATTCTGGACAAAAATGCCCATTTGAGTCATACACAAAAAATTTGAGGTTAAGGTCGTTTTGACCTTGGGGCAAGTTCTTAGAGCAAAGGTCGGTCTGGCCCTCCAAGGGTCGAACCGGCCTTGAACTTCATATTTTTTGTGTTTGAGTGAGGAGTATTTTTATCCAAAATGAATTAAAAACTATCACCCTTGGGAGTTAATGCAAAAGAAAAAAGTAACAAGGTTTATGATGCGAGTAAAAAAGTACTGGGGGATCAATGTGTTTGAAACTCAATGTAGGGGTGTAATTTTCCCCAGAATATAACCCCCTTTGTACTCTGGGAAAGCTAAGAACAGCCCTAATGGAAGATGAGCATTTGAAATGGGTATTATTTGGTTTTCTTAAGGACTTAGCTACTAATACAGCTCGCATTTAACTTGTGCTTCCCTTCGTCAATTGTTAGGAATTCATTACATTCATCCAAGAAATTGGAGAGGCATATCTCATTATGGATTTGAGAGGTTTGAGGAAAACATAAAGCGGGTTGTATGGTACACAAGAGGACTTCTATGATACAAAAATATTATTTGGATCATACAAAACCAGGTGGTTTAAAAAATGGATCGATGCCTTGGATCGGGCACTCCAAAAACCCATCCGGATTGGTGAATCGGCGATCCGGATCGGGAATCAGCCGACTCAGTCGGATTAAGCTTAATTATTAAAATTCATTATAAATGTTGTCTTTTAGGAATCCAATAAGAAATGAGGGTACTACATTGTTAACTTTTACGTTTTTTCATCAATTTGTGAATATTGAGATGTTCTTTCTCTGTATAAACTTATGTTAACTATTAAATTTACGTCACTCAAAAGAAAAATCATAGAATAATCATACATAGACTACAATAAATAGTAGATTAAAGCGATGAAAAAATAGCCACTAAAATATCGAATTGGCGGAAAACCCTAATCCGCTAAAAAAAACCAAATTATTACAACCTAACTAACTATAATCCAAAATTATTACAACCTAACTAATTATAATATTGTATACTGAAATTAAAATTGTTGGTTTACATTTTATAATTATTTTATTATACAAATAATAACAAATCCAATATATTTTATAATATCATCAAATTTAAAATGTATTATTGACAACTGTAAGAAAAATAGTACATTACATGATTTATAATGCAAAAATTAATAAATAAAATAAAATATTTGGTTATCAATATAGAAATTATTAGAATGTGTACCAATTTTGGAAATAATACTTTAATTTTTTCAAATTTTAATTTTTTAGATTTCTAGAATAAATTTAGTAAAAGAGATTGTTAGTAGAAAGAGAGAGAATTCAAATGGAATAAATTTTTTTTTTTTAACGACTTTACTTTCTGCTTATTTTTTTACAACAAAAACTAAATAAAATTACATGCTGGCTAGGATTCGAACCTCAAACGTCTAAGAGGTAAGTAGGAGTGATAACCACAAAGCCACGTCGCGGCGTATGTATAAAATTTCCATATTAATAATACTTATTCAACTGTCTTAATTTAATGCACTGTTTGTGGGATAATAAATCGAAGAATGAGAGTTACATTTATACATATAAATGGCTTTGTCACATACATCTAAGTGCACGCGTGAAAGCACGGGGGCATCGAGGGCGGGTTGAAGGTTTGCCGCTGCGTGTCACCAAAAGAGATGAAGGTTTGCCACGTGTCGCCACATATTATTGAGAATCGGTGATATGTGATGTGATACGGGCCGGTTTTGATCGGTGTATGACGTCATACCGGTGGTTCACTGTTCAGAACCGACAGTTTTGTTCTAGAACAGGGCGATTCTTGGTTTTACAAAGTAATCGGCACAGGGTTACCGATTTCCGTGCCGACTAGAACGAGTCCGTTCTGACTCGCCGATTTTTAAATCACTGTACAAAACTGAGAAGAATATCTACTTCCCTACAAAGGAATTTGGCACAAATGGGAGAACCTTCATTGGTGTTTTTTCAGTCATTAGAGTTTGTTTTTTCTTTATTTTTTTGTGCTTTATGGAGGATTTGTAACCAATCTGTTTAAACCTTTTCTTCTTAAAGATGAAGAGGAAGTTACCCAAAGTGAACAAGAAGCTTGCTGCTCGGCTGCTCGAGGATGCTGAAGATGCAGAACTGAACATTGATGGGGACACTGCTGCCAAGAAGAAATCAGCCAAGAAAAAGAAAGGGTTGGCAAATGAAATTCTGCAAGACAAACGTTTCTCTGTATTATTCGAGAACAAGGTGAGGCCATGGAACTGGTCTTGCATAGTAGTTTGCTTCTATTCTTCTCTGGTACCAGTAAAGCATATGATATTGTGAAAAAACCATAACCACTGGGGTCATCTGCGATGGATAGAGAGAGGTCTCACACTCATGGAGATAGTGATACCTCCTATACAATGGGGGCTGTCCTATTCTGGTGGCTCTCCATCAACATCAATTTCACTTGATGGTGATGGCCCCTTATGCTCCTTCAAAAAAAAAAAGAAGAAAAAAGAAAAATGAATGCGTAAAAAGCCTGTTAGTGCTTGCTTGCATATCAGTCAATGCTTCCCTTGGTTTTTTTGTAGGAATTTGAAGTTGATGAGTTCTCGCCAGAGTATCTTGCTCAACATCGTAGTTCGTTGAAGAAGCAGCCCTCATTGATAGACGAACACTTTGAGCCAGTGGAAAATGATGATGAGGATGAAGAAATCAATGGCTCAGATGCCTCAACGGCAAATCATTCATTGGAAGATGAGCCTGAGGGGGAGACATATAGGAGGAAAGCTAAAAGGGTTCCAAGGTATGCATATTAATTATATGACTAGTTGGTGCTATACAAAAAGATGAGAGAGCAATGAATAAATTGAGCAATTATACCTGATTTCTTGGTAATCGTATTGCCCAGAAGTTACTATTAATTTATTTTGATCGAATTTACTAATTAAATAGGTTTTTAGATGTACTTTTTGCTAGAATTTTGGTAAATATTCTAGTTAATGCTAGAATTTTGGTAAACAAGTACATCTCAAAAGCAAAGGAAATTGGCCTTACAATTATATATGGCGATTGAACTTTTTCATAAGTTAAAGCCTGGATATCTTCTTTCTTCTTAAGGCTGACATATTTCGATACGTTAGTGTGGCATTAGTCTCTTGTGCCTCGTAAAATACCGAAGACTCTCTCTCTCTCTCTCATTATATTGAAATGCCGAAATCAGACAGTGAGCAAAGATACTACTATTTTGCAGGCTTTATGAAGTAAAGGATGAGCGCCATGCTGAAGCATTTTGGAGTGGGGTGTCATTCTCGAAGGAGGACGCACTTCCTTTGGAAGAGAGGGTAGCTGCCTTGGAGAAGGCTTCAAAACAAGGTGAAATCAGGAGAGGACCTGGTGGATCGCGGGAGATATCTTTCATATCCAAGAGCTTGCCGAAAGGTCCCAAGTACGAGGATGATGATGATATGAGAGAAAATAGAAGGGGTATTGAGTCTTTGGGCTTCAGGCCCGCGAAGCCTCATTCTCGAGGAAATGGTCGAACTCGAGGTGGCAGAAGAAAAGAAGGGAGTCATATGAGAAGTAGAGGGAGAGGTAGAAAGTATTAATGGAAGATTATACAATAACAACTGTTTACCTTTGGTACAAATAAGTGACAATCAACCGTAGCCGTTCGTTTTGAAATTGGGTGGTTGGGGTTTTGCCCACCGACCATACTTCAAATTTGAGAAAATTTCAGGCAAATGCCTCAGTTGTCTAATTATATATTTGACAGCATGAGATGTTTGTGACCTTTTTTGACAAAAGGTAACCGTCTCATTGTATACAACCACTTTTTCCAATTGAGGGATGACAAGCAAGCCTCAGTTTTACTGGAAATTGAGGATGACTACCATCCATCTTGAGATGGGTGAGATAGTAGCAGAGTTCACAGTTTTGGCCATTTTCGGCATGGAGGTAGAGAGAGAGAGAGCTTGCAGTCTTTTTAACTTTATTTTTGTTCTTCCAGCTTTTCTTGGTTGTGTTGAGGTGATTTTCATTGCAATTTTCCTTGTAATAAGTATTGTATTCGGCTGGTAAACGAGATTAATTGTTTATTTATTAGAATATGCCAAAATGATTGTATAGGAATGAGAGGATTCTCCCAACAAGTTGATATCATAGTTATCAAGATGGGATCGGATCACTTAGGTTGATTGTGGATGGGTGACTTCGTTAGTTTGGTTTAAAGTAAAAATTTAATATGGTTGAAAATTATTCAAAATCAATATTTGAATGATTTTGGCTCGTCTGACTGTTTGGTTTTGATTGGTTCGATTTATTAAATAAGTTTTATAATTTATTTTATTTATTTTTTTAGATTTTTAATAATATTTTATATTTTTAATATAGTTCAACGGGTTTGATCGATTTTGATTGGATTTAGACCCTTTTGGTCCGAAGCGTAAGTTCCATTGATATAACTATTGGCTCATGACTATCGGTTTAAAGTCTCTCTCTCTCTAAGCTCCAAAGTAAAACGTACCAGAAAAGGTTGCAATGAACAGGGTGCAATGAACGTTGCTCATTGGCTGTCATCGAGTTGTTTTTTTAACATAAATTCTCGCTTTAGCAGGAAAAGGATTAGAGAAGGGTTATTAGGAGCCCTACGTTGCCGCCTCATATAAACTGCACCTTTAAAACGTCCTATAACTAGTGTTGTTAAGTTCACTTTGACTTATTTTGGCGGAAGAAGTCAAAAGCTTTTAGATATTAGGCCTGGATCGAAATGAAGTGAAGTCAGGTGTTGTCGTTTTAGTCAAATTCAGGTTTGCTTTAGGTTGATACGGTTGAAGATTTGGTCTCTTTGGCCAAAGTAAAGAAATATCTAATTAGAGGTATTTTTTATTGAAAATTTTTATTATATATATATATATATATACTATCAATTTTATTTATATTAAATTAAAAAAAAAGAGTCTGTAGTCTTCTCCCGAATTGGTTAAAGCACTAAATTGTTTCATTTTTCTACTCAACCAGAAGAAGATTCAAGCGAATTTAATAACATTGCTTATAATAATATAAATGTACATCAAGATCAACTCTTTAACTTCGTATGGCTTTTCAAAATTCTAAGTCGTCATCATGTGTTTTTAAAAATGAGATATTTCATCTCTTAGCTGAATTTTAAATAAATTTTCCAAAAGAAAAAGAAGCAATTGATGTTTTTCATAGAATGCTTGTTTTTCTGAAGAGGCACTCAAAAGAAGGAAACGGTTCCAATGGAATAACTTCAAAAATATATTTTTGAGTAAATTGATTCTAGTGTATTAAAGTATAAAAGATGTAGAGATTGCACGTAACGTTTCCCATCGAAAAAGGATCGGTAATTGTAAGCCAAGTAACAACTTCTATCTACTAAGAATACTTACGGGCAAATGTTGTAAGATTCGTTTTAGAGTCTTTTTTGATTTGGTGAGAAAAATGAAGCAATTTGGTGCTTGAGCTAGTTTGGGGGAAACAATAAATTAAATTTTTTTTTTTTGTAATTTAATAGAAATGAATTAGATATTTATATATACAAAAAAAAAATAGAAAAAAAAAACTTTTATATAGATATTTCTTTGCTTTGGCATAAGCCAGCTGAAACTAACCGGAGCTGGCAGTAACAGGCTTTGCCAGAGCGGCATTACCAGGCATCGCTTTCTTCGATCTACGCCTAAAATCTGAAGCTGAAGTTGAGGCGAAGCGAATCCGATAGAATTGGTTGGGGCATCTAAAAATATCATAGGACTGCTGAGCATGAATGCACTTCGGCATCCAGAGATGCAAAAGACAGTAGAGGTGGATCTCCATCAATTACTGACTTGGCTAGTCCCAATTATGGATGTTAATGGGCCGGGTCAGGCCAGGCCAGCCAGGACCCAATCCCTGTCAAACTGTGCAAGGTAGGCTAGGGCCTGCCCTGGGCGTCAAAATTTAATGCCGGGCTCGGTCCGGTCCAAACTCACCCTGAATTCATGATGATGCGGCGCGGCCGGGCATTCATGGAGACCGACACCAAAGCCAAACAACTCGATGGAAACCCATTCAGCACCCTTCCTTCAGCGATCACATTATGGGCGGGGATGATTTGGGGTCTTAGGTTGTGGGTGGAGTTGGATTTCAAAGTTTGAGTTCCTGGTTATGTTAGGATGTTTGTGATGCATCGTCTCTTGAAGTAGGGAGCACTTCTCGTATTCCCCTGCCTCTTCCTGGGATTTGTAATTCCGGAGCTCTGGTCCTTATCTAATGAAATTCACAGTAAACAGTTCAACAAGATGAGGCACAGCAGGGCACCATTGCTAGCCCGGGCTTGGCTTGAGAATATTTTGGGCTTTTGCAGGTTTAACATTTGACTAGAAACTGGCCCGAACTTGGCTTGGAATGAAAGTTTGTGGGAAGTCCCCTATGTAATTCGGGGTTTGACTGAGTAACTTAGTAGAGTTATGCAAAATGTGAGATTTGCTTATTAGAGCTACCTAAATGTGAGAACGGTCAAATGTATTTTTATTGTGGTGTTTAATGGCTTGAGTTGTTTAACGTTTTGCAAGAGGTGACGATAGGATGACATATAAAGACCTGGGTCTCAAAAATTCATTAGAGACAATCGTGTCGATGCAGAAAACCCTTCAATTCGATCATCTCAACCTCAAGTTGTATGGACATGAGAAAAAATAAATTTCAAGTATTGGAAATAGTGCATCTTGTAATATATTATCTAGACTGTCAATTTTTAAGATTCATAGATCTGCTTGATCTGTACTATTTTTAAACTTTAAATATTATAATTAGAGACTTAGATATTTAATCTAATAGATATAGCTCTTTTTATGCAGTATTCAAATGGGTTTAAATAAAAAAATTCCATTGAGCCAATTCCAATAGATTTATTAAGCATTCCAATTGACGTGCATCCAACAGGAAGAACCTTTGGATTTGCCAATTCTGAGTTGGGAGCTTTAACTAATCAAAAATGGATGTTGGAACCATCATTTCATTAGGTCCGTTAAAACAAAAGAGTGAATCTTTCATGTGTATGGAGCTCAACTTGTTCTATTTGTAAAAGTTGAAAATAAAATTTCAGGCTTATCATAAATGTTTTTAATATTAAAACAACATATTTCAACACTATTTGAAGATGCACCCTATTGTTTAGAACCCTGGCCTTGTACAAACCACACCCTTCTAAAAAAGGATGGTTTGATATATACAAGCTTTCTTTGCTTCTCCCTACAACATAAAACTTATATACTTCCTCTTATCCAACCGTCCATTCTAAATGAAAAGCTAAGATTGCCCCAATCACAATGTCATGTCTCTATACTATTTTATTTTAAACTATTTTGACACCAAATTTTGTACGTCCAATCCTCTATTAAACTCGCAGTAGTGAAAAATATATAAAAAAATGTTTTCAATAAAATACAATAACCAAAATACCCCTGAAAGATTCAAGGGGTATTTTGGTCATTATATTTTATCGAAAATTATTTTCAATATTTTTTATAGGTGCGCCCCAATGACAAGATGACACGTACCAAATTTCATATTCATACAATTTGTATAAAAAAAATACAAATAAAATATTTTGAGATGTCAGATCTAAGATCAACGGTGAGTATCTCTCTTGATCAAAATTGGACGGTTGGATGGTAAAGGAAGCATAAATCTTCTATGCTGTACTGGAAATATAGAACCCTTTCCCGTTTGATATTACCTAGGTCTCTAGTTAAGCAAAGAAAGAGGCACAACCCCTATAAAATCATGTAACCTAAGCAAGCTGCAGAGAATGAGATTGTATTGGGTATTTTGTCCATATTGGTGTTGATTCAGTATGCAGTGTCCGTTCCTCTCTTTCATGAGGGTTGAAGCCATTATTTCTTTCTATCATAAAATATTGATTCTTTTCAAGATCAAAGAGTGTTACTAAGTGCGGCTGGATAACCATTAGCGTTTGCTTACAATGAGATCAACACTACAAAGTAATTATTTATCTTTTATATATGGAGGTCACAATTACTTTTGTTTTATAAATTATAAAATGGGTAATTGTACGAGTGCCATACATAAAACTCCAAAAAAAATATTTCTCGAACTTCGTGACTCACCTCAAGCCATTGAATTTGACATCTAATGAGTGAAAGTGATTACAACTTTTTTTTTTTAATAAGTAATGATTATGACCTCCATGTACAAAAGATAAAGATGCCTTGATGTGCGGTGCACAACCCACATATACAGATTTTAGTGGTGCCAGCATTATGCGACCAACATTCCACCCCCAAAAAAAAAAACTTAGAAACATTTTTTCACTATTCTAAGTGGATTAAAACCCAAAAATTACAAACTAAATTTTTTCTCGATTATGAAGTTTTTGAAAAAGTATATGCGGATTATATATACTAAGTGTGTAAAATATAAAGTTTGTAGTTACAACCCTATTATATATACTAAATTAGTTTATTATGTTTGCCAAATAACAAGAGTGGAAGCTACCAGATTTTTATTTAGGCATATTTGGAATTCATTTTTTTTTTGCATTTTAATAATTAGTTTAGTTAGCAACCCCAGTAATGCCCCAAAAAAAATGTCCAAAATACTTAACCCACACCACTATTTACCACAATTATTAAGCCAGATTTTTATTTAAGCATCTTTTGAATTCATTTTTTTTTGCATTTTAACCATTGGTTTAGTTATTAACCCAAGTGATGCACCAATAAAAATGTCCAACACACTTAACCCACACCACTACTAACCATAATTATTAGGTTTTTTAATTTAGAACATATTACCTATTTAACGTTTATAGAGAAATATAAAAATAAATACATAACATAATTTGAATAAATCACAATATAATAATAATTTAAAATATTTTACATTTTGTTATTCAAACTCCTCCCATATCCTAATCTAAAAAGCTTGAGAGTTTTCTCATTTTTATATGTACATTTTTGTTATTCAATCTCCTCTCATATTCTAATCTAAAAAACTTCAGAGTTTTCTCATTTTTATATCTACATGTTCTACAAGTATACAACCTTTATATAATTTACAGCTATTATATAGATGAGTGTGTACACTTTGAGTTCTTCACATAGAAAGCATATTAGTCAAATTCATAAAAAAGGTGCGCCATACCTGAAAAACAAACATATAATATGGGCTTGTTTAAAAAATTCACACCTTAAGCTTGTCAGTCGAAATCCTTATAAAACTAATGATTTATGCTCAAGAGGGACCACATTGTTCATTCACTCCATCAGATAAACTAGATACAAGTGTCTAAGCACTTAATATCAATTTTTTCTTTTTTTTTTTTTGGAAAAATGGCCTCTAACCCTCTTCTTTGGTATTTCCATTCCTATTAACCCCTGGGTTAACTAAAATCTCTTTCACCCCCTCAAGTTTCATTAACCTCCTAATTATATTTTTCTTTATTATTTTTACAAATTTGATCTTTTTGTTTTACAAAATGCCTAACCCATACATTAGTCATATAAATTTATTGATGATAATAATTTATAATGATTATAATTAATTAATAATTATAATAATAAGAACAATAATATATTAATTGTTAAATATTTCATCTCGTATAAGCATTTTGAAAAAGTTTCTTAATAAATAAATAATAATAACTGTTAACAATAGCAACAAATATCTTGATTAATCATTTGTCAAGTTTAAACGATATTTGATATAATTGTAAAATAGGTCATAATATTTTTTTTTTTTTTTCATGTCTAAATTTATAGAGTGGGATCCAAGGAAGTAAGATTGGTTTTAGGCAACATAAGAGAAAGAGAAGGGAAAATTTGTAAAATAAAAAGATCAAATTTGTTAAATAAACAGATCAAATTTGAAAAAAAAAAAACCCCAAAAACAAACATAATTAGATGGCTAACAGTCCTAAAATTTTAAATTTGAGGGGTACAAGAGATTTTGATAAACCCAATGAGCTAATAGAGAGAGAAGTTTCGGGGAAGGGGTTCACGCTTTCTTTGGACGTTCATTGAATTGGCATGGCAAAGACTTAAGGATGCAATTCATATAGCTATGAAAAGAAAATAAGGCCATACTTCTAATCCGCATCCCCAAAGCAATTTCAGCATCGAAAATCTCTAAAATCAATTTTGAACACTAACAATAAAATTTGAAACTAAAAAACTAGTACAAATCTGTGAACATTTATTTTTAAGACAAAATGGACAATCTTAATAATTTGTTATTTAAAATTTAAAATCCTACTTTTTTTTTTCACAACCATAATGTTCAAGCTGAAATTATTTATTTAAAAGATTTTCAAACACTTAGACAACTTTCGATGTGATATGAACTGAGGCTTTAATTATTTTGATAAGGTTGCAGCCCCCATCAAACCATTATCCTTTTTCTTTCTTGGACCCATAATTTCAAGGTCGAAACAAACAACGTTTCGGGCCACGACTTTGTGCTGACCATCACCCTTTCGTATTATGAGCGTCTCTCCTACTTAGATACATGGTTTTTAATTTTCAATAACAAATTACTAAAACTGATCTAATTATTCGGGGCCAGTTTGTACAAGGAGTCCACCTTAAAAAAATAAAGGGGCATGCCTCCAGACCGTATCGGAAAATGCAAAACCGATCCAGGCGCCTTAGATCTATTTCCATCCCTTATTACCTCTAATTATGATAATTATGAAATTTAAAGTTCAAAAAATGATATACATCAAAAAGCGATATACATTAAGAAGCTGCGAGGATCAATTCAAAAACACTGAATCGCACAGTGCGACCCAAAAATCGTCCACCCCATTCCAATTCTTCGTATTATATCAATCAAACGGCCCAGTCTAAAAAAGAACCAACAGTTCCGCACAATAAAATGACAATCCATACCGCTAAATCACCGATCCGAACTGATTTTTGGTTAGTTCACTATTTTTTCAAATATTTTTTCGTCAATTACTGTGTTTTCGGCACAATAAAACAATGATTCGATCCAACGATTCACCGATCCGGACCAATTTTTGGAGTGCCCAATCCAAGTCACCAATCCGTTAATCACTGCTTTTATGTTGACACCTTAATGTAAACTTTTTCCTGCGGCGGGACACAAATACGCCTTCACCTTGCATTGCCTCTCTCTCCCTCCCTACCTCAGACAGAGTCATACAAAGTAATACAAGTAACATCAAGGACACTGAGATGGAAACAAAAGAGTAGTACATCATTGTTTTCTCTAAGCTAATCCAAAATTTAAAATCCAAATCCATTTCAGGCAGTCGTCACCAGAAACCGGAAGGCAAACATCTCATAGCTACAAAGAAAATGCACAGAAAACAGCAATAATGAATCCTAATAATCAGTATTTCCATGACCAAGAAAAAAACAGTTCCTTTCCTGAACTTCATGTTTCACTCACTCAGGGTGCACCTTAATGAATCGCTCATCGCTTGCCACCGCCTCCACCAAGCTTTGGACCCTTTGGGGTAGGGGCCTTGGCCATGCTACCCTTCACTTGGGTCTTCTGTGACTTGGACATGAGCTCTGCTTTTTTTGCTTTCTTCTCATCCTTTGTTTTCTTTATCCTTTCCTTGATCTCACTGCAAAACAACAGTCGAACTACTTGTCAAAAACAAGCTTGGGTCAAGACGGTAGAGGCTAGGTTTTCATAGCCCCGCGTCTCAAGTTCCATTGTCAACAAAAAAAAACAACAGTTGAACTACGATATAATAACCTACGTAATGAAGCTCTCAAGGCATAAGA